CATCATCATGTCCGGGTTGTTCTCGTTGTTATGTGTTGTTTGTTGCAAAGTTATTCACGTCATTACTTTTGTGTGTTGGAGTATAGTATAAGTCATGTACTCCATGTTGGTTGTTTCATATTTCAAATTCGTGTTGTGTTACTTTTGTTTTAAGTAAACATTTCAAACATCAACATGTCATTTTGGATAATTGAATAGTCAAATCTCTAGAATTAAAGGGATAAATAGAACGATAAATGAATTATCAAGATTAAAAGACATAGGAATCCAGTACGTATGTTACTCAAAGGTGCTAGATTCCTACACGTCTGCCTATTGTGTTCAAAATGCCCGCACCGATCACATTTTTGCGTGCTTGTCGACCTTTCAGTTCTTTACCATTTATGTTGGGTATTCAATTGTCCTGGTGCTCTACGTATGTTTGGGGGGTGATACATGATGAAACGGATGACATGTGGAACAATCCAATTGGACTTCATTTCCACAGGGTAAACTACATTCACCTTATGCTCTCTAGCATCCAATTGATCCACAATTAGCACAAGGCTGTTTGTGTGTGAACGGAAATGTACCATTGCAAATCCTTGTCGTCGACTACATCAGGGGTATATTCATGTTCGAAACTTTGAATTTCAACTGGATTTGAAATTGCATTCTATCAACATTTAGCTTCTCAAACAATTTATTGAGAGGTTCTTTATATCGAATGTCGCTTCGAACAACAATCAATGATGTTCGGTCCCCCAAACAACTTTTTATCGTCATCCACGTTAATAAAGGCACTGCCATGCGAAACAACAAACCTCATCGCATCCCCCATACCTATGTGCCATTAATACAACTATGGTGAACTTACACACAAATACCCGAAACGAACATGCTACCCACACGCAATATGTGAATTGTTAACACAATGTTTCCTAGCTTTTCCCATTTTTTACCGTCATTCTCAACATTTGAAAAATGTCCAAACTAACATTTAAATATTATTCTTGACGTTTAGATAGTTTCGAGAACAATGTGTCGAGATTACACCTTACCACATGCATTTATCGTCTTCTTCAACCACAATTATTGCAAAGAATTCATTCTCAGCATTAATGATATGATCAATACAAAACTACCTTATATTCCTTGCTATCAAAGTTATGTAAGAATGATGTGACACAACTTCATGAGTAAGACACCATAATCAACATAATTTTTTTTTAGGATACTCCAATAATCTTACAATTTATTTTGACTACTTGTTTGGGATTATTCAATCCCTTTTAATCACATATATATACAACTTATCAACATAAAAAAGATTTCAAAAATATTACCTTCTACTGAAAATTGTGGAGAGCTGAATCAACTCACAAATTTGTTTTATTTTTCTCAAAATGAAATTATGTGATTTTCTTCTTTGTTAGTACGTATATTTTTTCACAATGCAATAATGCTAAACTATGTTTAGCTTCATCTTCATTTTTTCCCAGTTTTCAATTTTTGCCCTGTAAACAGGCCTTCTGGTAGCCACATCCCCGTAATACCAAATAAAATCAGCTCTCTCTCATACATTGCAAAGAATAATTTTATTTAGCACTGTGGTGCTAGAGTACTAGTCTTAGTGGGTACACTAGATAAGTTCAATTAATCGAATCACGTGAAAATACATTTAAGTAAATTTATCATTTAACGTCATGCAATTGCCAACTAAACTGGTGCTTGACACCAGTAGTGATGAATATTATTATTCCATTGCAAATAAACTCATCCATGTAACGCTGGCCTATATAATTTCCCCGTCAAGCCAATTAGGTCATAGAATTTATTGGAAAGAAGAACAATATTTATCCGAAAAATAATAATTTTCTTTAATTCAAGAATCCAAGATCTTTATATATATTCATGTGTATATTATAGTAAAGGAACATAAATTTAGAATTTACCCAAATTCAAAAATCCAATTCTTGATCGAATCTGATTCACAAACTTCTAGTTCAAGAACTCGAGACTTCAACTTTCAATCATTCTATGTTATTCTCCAAAGTTAAAACTATATCAGTTTGTGAAAATTTAATTCAAGGATACAATATCTTTAGAGATATTTACATGTATGTTATAATCAAGAAACATAGATTTAAAATTTATCCAAATTCAAAAATCAATTTCTTGATTGACTCTGAATCATGAAACTCCAACTTTTGATTTCAAGAACTTGACACTTTCAACTTTCAACTCTTTTGTGTTATTCTTCAAAGTAAAAACTGCATCAATGTGTTTACACATTTATTCAATTCAATTCAATTCAATTCTAGACTGGACTGGACTAGACAGACATAGAAAAAAAAAACAAGAAATTTTTATTTATTTATTTTTCAATTTTTTTCTCCTTTTTCATGAATTTTCGGCCACCCCGGTTATGTATGCGTAGGCCAAAAAAGTTTAGTCCAAATCCAAGTCTAATTAAATCATAATTGATTTAATTGCAATTTAGTCCTTGAAATTTTAATTACAATAGCAATTAAATTCAAAACTTTAAAAATGATTGCTATTGAGTCAGAGATTTTTCAGAGATATCATAAGGACATGTTCGAACATACATTGTCCAAGCTCCAAATATTAGATAATGTCTAGCTAGCCAACCCTAGAACGTCTAATTTAATATTACTCTTCCTTTTTTCACTAAAAATAATAGACTGCAATCTCAAGATATATAAATGTAGCGACCGAAATTTTTGAACTCTTTCAGGAAAATTTTACTTTAAAAGTTGAAGGAATTTAGTTAACTTGTCACGTCGCGTCGCTACGACACCTCTAATATTTTGAGTTAATTATTTGGTCACGATAGTAAAGTTGCGTGCACTTGTTTTTAAATTTGATACACTTGTTATAGTGTACCATTTAAACCAAATTTAATTTCATTATCTCAGTTTATTTTTATTTTTATTTTTCTCACCAATGCATTTCCATTCATTCTTTTTTTTACCATCCTCGAAGTTCAATAACTACCCACTTAACATATTAACCACCATTTTCATTTTTAACTACCAATATATATAAATATATACACACACATTTGGTTTTGGATTGG